CATCATTTATTATTTAATTGAAGGAAATTTACGATTTTAGAAATATTAAAATGAGAATTTACTAATTATTTGTGTTGGCTTGCCTGACGGTGGTGTCCGACGCCATCACGACCTTTCAAGGATTTTGGGTCGTGACAACATGGTATCAGAGCACTAGGTTCACTTAGGTCTCATGAGTCATGAGCGAGTCTAGTAGAGTCTTGCAGATCGGTATGGTGACGTCTGTACTTATCTTCGAGAGGCTACATGGCTGTTAGGAGCATTTCCCTTCTTGATTCCTCATCGTGCGATTTGATTCCTTTGAGGCTTATGCCTTCATATTTTTCCCATTCAATGTTATGCGACGTGAAGCGCTAGTTATAAATCGGGAATTGAGGTATTGTAATTGTACTACAGATGTGGTGCGGTATGTTTCTCCATGCGTAGATGATGGGGCTATTGTCGTCGCCTTGTGGAAGAATATTCTGTCATTTCAGCTCAGTAGCTATTCTTCTGAGAGCTTTGAGGCTATGCACAGGTTGCTATGATGTTCATGAGTTGTTATCGCACAATATTGATGTGATGGTAGGATGCTTGCCTATGTCTCGGGGAAGTGAATGACTTGAAATGAGGTTTACTCAGTGCATGATTTAGAGATTCGGTATTTTACTTCCTACAGAGGAAAGGCAATCGAACTAAGAATGTTCAGACTTGGGTTGATGGAGTAGCGAGACTCGATATTTTCGAGCGTGGTGGAATCTTCGCCTGTGATGTGGCGTCATCGTCCTTGATTGGTTATAATGTGTTAAGTTCGCCGGTGTTATGGTTTCCTTCAATTCGCCTTGGGGCAGAGTATTATAAATGGTGTCGAGAAAGCGGCTGTCAGAGGTTGCAATGTGCAGAGGTTCAGGATCGAATCGGCATTCCTAGTATTGATGGCTCGAGAAAGATGATTTTCGGAAAGGTTTAAAGTTGGTAGCGATCTACCGGTTCAAGTGCTACAGAGGTAGATTTTGATTTAAGGCAACAACTAGGCAGTGAAGGATGAGGAAGGACATGTGGGAGGTGCCTTGCAGTGGATAAACGTATAGAAGGCCAAGTGTGTGAAACAGGAGTCGGGTAGTTACTTAAAGGAGTGAGTTTGACCAAAGTGGGAGAGTGGCAGAGTAGCAGGCGGGTTCCGTGGTAGGATAGCTGCACGCCTCGAGGAAAGTTTAGAGTGATTTGGGATTCACGGTGGTTAGTGACTAGGTCTACGGGCTAAATTTGGAATATTGGCTACTATATTGAGGAAGATTGTGTGTGACAGGAGGGAGTCGCTTAATATGAAGCAGGATACGACATGACTCTGGATTTGAATGTATTGTCGCACTTTTAGTTGGTGTCCATGAGGAGTGAACAGACTTGTACAACTGGTGAATGAGCATGGGCTCAGGATGGTTTATTGGCTTCGTGGTAATTGTATTCAGTGCAGCGTTGTTGGAGGATGTCGACATGGAATTTCCACAGGCGGGATATCTCCTGGGAGCAGGTTAGTGGTTGCGTGGTGTTGATGAAGCTTCTATGAAGAATTTTACTGGTTATCAAGTAAGAGGTCAAATATGTGAATGTGGCTAGTGATTCCGAATGTTCATGAAATGTTTAACATAAGGATTTCGAGAAATTTGGCGGGTTGATTGTGCAAGGTCATGTCAATAAGAGGTAAGGAATCTTGGTAGGTTCCAAGGTCATGTATTAGTAGCTTCGGGCTAAGTGGGAGAGCCCCACCGTAAGAGAACATCAATGGTAGTTCGAGCAAAGGATTTGAGGAATGTGGGATATATTTGGCCTTATCGACTCGTGTTCAGGCTTGGGGAAGACTTAGAGCCTATGGTTCGTGTGGAAGTGGTGTATAAGAAAAGAAATTCAACCGGTTGCTTCTTTGAAAGGGTGTTCATGTGCTAACAGGGCCTTGGAGTTTGATTATATTCGGGGACAAGTCAGAGTGGGTGACTCTCAACAACGGTCCTAATGGATTCAAAAGTAAGGTGTGGTGCCTAAGGATTTCGAGTCCATAGTATGGTTGAATATCGAGCTTTTGCAGCGGATTTTGATAAAGGATCTTGGAGTGTTCCGTGTTATCTTTGGTCTACGGGGTATCATGAGAGGAAAGGGAGCATGTAACTTTGGATTTATAGAAGAATCATCAGAATGGGTGTATCAGTTGAAGACGCGATTATGCGCACAAGGAGGGTATGAAATGGTTCGTGGGTTTTAAGACAATGTGGTCTTGTGAAATAGGATCACTCAGGACGAGTGCAGATTGAGTTCGCCATGTTTTGAATGGAGCTATTATTATTCCTAAGGCAAGTCCACAGTAAATTAGAAAGAGTCGGGTCAGTTAGCAATGGTAGAATCGGCATAATGATGGCAATGATCAGCTCCTTCAGTGTGTTGGGTTATTTATGTGATTTGTGACGGCACGTGCGAGGTTTGACGGTCGCCGTAAACGATCTTATTTGGAGGCTTTCGAGTATTATGGCCTGTTATGTGCAGATGGATCCCGGAAGTTTTATGGTGGTTTAGACCACTACTTGAGGTTGGTATTTTCTGCGGATATGAGGATTCAATCGCGTGTTGCAATGGTTCTCTTGGAATGATTTAAGTAAAAGGTTTCTATGTGATGAAGTGTTTACCCTATTGGGTACTTCTTCACTACTTCTTCGAGGTTAGGCGTGATACTTATTGGGTACGCGTTGATTTACGGACTCATGCTACACTTGCTGCAAATTTTGGTGCAGGTACACATATGTTTAGCGGTCTTGTGGGCGCAGAGGCGCGGTTATGGCGGTGACTTAGGTGCGCTGCATTCTATACGACGCTCCGCAGCCAACAGAGTCTCCTTCAGAGTATTTGTATTTTCTTTTCTGTCCAAATTTGTATTCCGGACATTTATTGTATTTTATTTTATTTCCTAGTAAATGCTCATGCTCTTGTGACACCGGGTTCTGGGATGATTATTGGATTATTCAGTATTGAAATTTGCGAAAAATATTATTATTTACTTTGTGAAGTTCATCATTTATTATTTAATTGAAGAAAATTTACGATTTCAGAAATATTAAAATGAGAATTTACTAATTATTGGTATTAGCTTGCCTGATAGTGGTGTCCGGCGCCATCACGATCTTTCAAGGATTTTGGGTCGTGACAGATGTACTGCACACTTGCGCTTTAAAATTCCTATTGATATTGATGAACATTCCAGTTGTAACATTAGCAAATAAAGTGCACTAGCAGGTTTAATACGAGATGCAAAATTGATTTTATGAGAAAAAAAAAGTATCTATGGCAAATAAAAGAATGCTAGAAGTTTTTGATTTGCTTCTAAAAGATCTCATGAATACAAATGTTTTATTTGGTGGGAAAGTCGTTGTCTTAGGAGGTGACTTTAGACAAACTCTTCCTGTTATGCGAAATGGAAAGAAAGAAGGTTTCATCAGTGAAAGTTTGTTATATTCTAGAATTTGGTATGAACTTAAAAAATAATAATTGTCTGAGAATATGAGAGCAAAAATAGATCCTCCATTTTGTGATTATTTGATGAGAATTGGAAATGCACAAGAACAAGCTAGCTCAACAAACAAGATTAGATTTCCTGATTCTTTGGTTATCCCTTTCACAACTGAAAGAGAATCTTTAGATAAGCTATTCACATTGACATATCCAAATTTGAATTCGTTCAACTCCAACACATTCTGTACAAATTCTCGTGTAATTTTGACTACAAAAAATGATTTTGTCAATGAAATCAATGACATGCTTATTGACCAATTTCCAGGGAAAGTAAGAACATTTATCGGCTTTGATGAGACCACTGAATTAAATAATCAAACACAATTTGAAGATTTATTACACAGTTTAAATCCTCCAAGTTTGCCTCCTTATAAATTATCTTTGAAAGAGAATTGCCCGATTATGTTATTGCGTAACTTAAATCCATATGAAAATTTATGTAATGGCACACGACTGACCTGCTGTGATTTTAAAACTCACGTGATAAGTGCTAAGATTTCAACAGGTGACTTCAAAAATACGCATGTATTTATACCGAGAATACCGTTATTATCATCACAGGATGAAAAAATGCCCATTCCATTTAAGAGAATATAATTTTCAATAAGATTGTGCTTTGCTATAACTATAAATAAAGCACAGGGTCAGACATTAGATTTTGTAGGGAATAATTTGTGGGAACCTGTATTTTCACATGGTCAATTTTATATTGCTTTATCGAGAGCTAAAAGTTCAAACGGTGTAAAGTTGCTGATTCGACCACCTACGCCAACAAGCTCTACATGTAACATTGTTTATGATGAAATCATTCGAAAGGCAGCTAGCTGATGTTTTTGACATAAGATGATCCTGTAGGTTTTCTGTTCTTTCCGTACTTCATTATTCTGTATGCACATGTTTCCATGTCTTACTTTTGATAAAGTATTTTGTGTAACCTTTTTTCTTTCTTATTCCAGTTGCCGACACAATAGCTTTCAACTCAAGAAATGAAGTAAAAGAAATGTCAAAATGAAGACACTGGGCAAATTAGTTAACTCGGTAATCCGAGTGCCAACTACAGGGCTTCTCATTCTCTTACTCTTAATTTTACTATGTTATCTACAATTGAAAATTTGCTTATGATTTGATATGATCATCAGCTAAAAATCCTTGGATGGTTATCCAGTTTTAGTGGTTGACTATAACGAACATGTTATTGGCTACTCCTGCCAAAATTCACGAATTGCTTGATGCTTTGCTTCATGTTCTATATTTCTTGATAACTACCGCACAACATGTGATTCCCATGTAACTCCTATTTGTTTCTTACTATTTATTTTACTATCATGTCAATTACGTCAATATTCTATTAAACAGATGCTTCATTGTAAGACGACAATGAAGAGTAGAAGAGTTAATAGCAACCGCTTAGATTCTCCCATCCGTTGCATGCAATGGAATTCCAGATAGCACTCCTGAACGTATGTATACTCTTGATTTATCTGAGTATCCGGTGTGTGTTTATTCTGGCTTATAAGAAGTAGTAATTACATTTACTATATTAAAGAAGATAGGAGATCGTGAATTATTCAAATTACCAAGATTTTCAATCTTTATGGTTTGATCCATGATACAAAATTGTAAGGTTTCTCCCTCTCTTTCTATTTTTTTTTTTCTATTTTTTTTTCGTCGAGAACATTAGATTTGGGAGTGAAATGAACAAAATCTATTACGAAACCCAAATGGGTGTTAACGAGCAAGACATAATTTTTACGAAATAATTCTATAAATCTTTTCTTGGTTTTCTGTTTTCTCTATGTGATTGGATTGACTAATTAGTGGAGTTAATTATAATATCCATTCAAGTGGGTTCTTCTTCATTTTGTTGACCCATTGTGCATTTGTAATGTACTGGAGTTGATTACAGTAATCTGTTTCAGTTATTAGTTTGTTTTGAATTAGAAATACATGAATATGTGATTATTTGGGCAATTGAAGTAGGAAAAAGAGGAACTTTTTAACTAGGACTATGTACACTTCTTTTTAGTTCGTAATTTTAAAATTTGAAGAATATGTCTACAAGTGTGTGATAGAGCTAGACCATGAAAATTATATATATAAAAAAGTAATCTGCTGTGATGAGTAGAAAGTTGGCATATTGTTGTACATTTTTCACTAGATAACAGATGGGGTCTGGAAGATTGACTTTCTTGATTCTATTGGCAGAAAGTATTTTAGAGGGGTGTCATGGGGTTGAGCAAAACTGAAGTGAACTTGAAGAGATTACTTGTAACTGCACCACAACAGCAAAATCAAGCAAAGCTTATACATGTAAGTGCATATATCATTCAAGTTCCATTCTTTATAAAGGAATGATGGTTGCATTTTCTCATTTTTCTTTTCATTCTTCGAAGTACCTTGGGTGATTTTTGTTGCATTTATGTGAGACTGGTCGCGAATATGATGAGTTATCATATCATTGATTCCATTGTGCTATTTTTTTTTCTTATAGATATATATTAAGATATTATATTCTTGTACAGATTGCCCAGGGCCTCTATGTAAAACAGTAGGAAAATCTGATGCTTGCTAACGTTGCCTCAATCTACTTGAACCCGAACAAATCTGTACCTAATCCTATGTAACTTAGAATGGTTTCATCTTGCTGTTTGTAATACTTGATAACAACACTGATTCTTGAGCTGCCAACAGAGATTCATCTCTTCAAAAGAGTAATACCAAGTCTCACCCTGCGGGTTGGTGGTTTGAAAAAGATAGCCTATTTATTTTGGATGAGGAGGAGCAATCTGAAAAGAAGCAGTGCGCTGTTGCTGCTTCAAAAATTCCCCACAACTTCTCTTTTATGCCAGATAATGAAGTCATCATGCGCCATCATAACATTGCTTAGAAACTCTATTCCAATGGCAGCCAAATTATGTTACAGGTGTGAAAGAAGTTCTGATGGTAACCATCCTCCACTTCCAACCAAGAGGTTGTGAGTTCGAGTCACCCCAAGAGCAAGGTGGAGAGTTCTTGGAGGGAAGGATGCCGAGGGTCTATTGGAAACAGCCTCTCTACCCCAGGGTAGGGGTAAGGTCTGCGTACACAATATCCTCCCCAGACCCCACTAGTGGGATTATACTGGGTTGTTGTTGTTGTTGTTGTATATGTTCTTACAACCTTGACTTCTGTGAAGTGGTACATTTCTATTTATGACAAGTTATAATGTTTGACATATGTAATATCTGGTCCTTTTTTCCTTAAGTTGTCTTCATGGTTATAATTTGGCTAGATTTTGATATTATTTTTCTTCAAGTAATATTTTGGATACCATTAAAGGAGATAAAGTTCATAAAATAATCTCCGTTCATTCACATAAGTTCATATTTCTAGCTCACTTTTAAGTGTGGTTCACGTTATCGTAGTTCCAAATGCAACCTGACCTATGCAGGGTTCACTTGACTTGAAAGATGACAGGGATGAAAGATAATAACAATGAGATAACGATGACATGAGGGCCAAACAGAAGGTACTCTTGCTTGCGGAAGTGTAATTGATATTTTTTTATTCCTTATTTCAGTAATCTCTGAATCCTCTATTTTATGCAGGGTACAACTCATGACTTACAATCTTTTGGTTGCGAATGCCATCTTTGATTTTGACGGAGTTTAGCTGGAGCTCTTTGAATATGGCTAAGATTGCGTTCTAGCTAAAACTGTACGTTAGTACTTATGAACTCTGCAAAGCGTTAGTTGTACCTAACTGTTGCCCAGGGTATTCCAAATGTCATCATTCAGAAAGCAATTACCATAAGTTATTCATTTGCATCAGTTTGTGTTCCAGTATAAAGAAACGTTTTCAATTACTTTCTTTTGTCTACAACTTCGACGCCCATGAATCCGATGATATCTGGTTTGTAGTTGAGAGAAGGAATCACTATGAGATTGATAGCGACTAAAACTGCATTGATCTCTCATGCTGAAATCTATTTCTGCTTCTTCCTTTCGCATTAACTTATCTAGACAGTTCTCTAGGTCATTTTTGGTGAATTTCATTGGAAGAATAAATAGTTGTTCCGTTACCAATAATAGACGGCTGACTACCACACCTTGCCGTATGAACCAAAATCTTTTGTAGTCGAGTAATTTGTTTTACTACTATTTTGGTTTGTTTCAATCCAGATGTATTCGAATAGGACCTATGTTTACTCTTTCACATTCGATTTTATTGTTCTCTTACAACTTTTTTCACTCTTGTGATGAAAGAACGAAACCAACATATACATATAGATACTGATTGCTCTCATATTTATTTCTAATTTGCAAATAAAGGAATGGTCAACATATTGCAAGTAGCCCTCAAATGTATGAATATATCATCATATGAAAAATCAGTATGGCAAATTTAAATGCAAACTGGCTTAACAAATGATGTTAACAACACTATTAAAGGGTTATTATCACTTTTAACTCGCACCAGAAATTATTTTACATTCGGTAATCGAAAAAGTATATAAATTTTATATAACTTTTGTATATAAATGTTGTTGGGCCCGGGCTTAGCCCGGGTAAACACTCTCTAGTATAGTAATAGTTGAAACTCGTTCCGGTGGTATTGATAGACTATCTCAATAGAAACAAGTCGCCTTTCTCAATAAGTGGGATGAAAACTATGGGAAGCTAGATTTTTTTCTTTTAAAATAAAGAGTTTTTATAACGTCTCAAAAGGAAAATGTACAAGGAGAGCCAAACCTTATCTTACTAGCCCTAATGAGGGTAAGATCAGCATATAAACAATGATAGTTGATTTTTTCCTATTTGTTGGTGGGCATAGTATATGGTATCAGTGATCGTGGTACTCGGCAAAATAATTATGGTGCATGCATGTTATAATTACAATGCATGCAAGTTGGTTTGAATATAATTGTCTCGGTGAAATAATTATGGTGCAAGCAAGTTATATATTACCATACATACAAGTTGATTTGAATATAACTGTCTACACGAAAAAAAAAAGTTGTCATTCAAATCTGTACATTACATGTTATACAAAAAATATGTATAACATATATGTTACGAAAAATGGCCAAATGTACCCATATACTTTCAAATATTGCTTAAAATTATGCTTTGTTTCACTATCTAGCCGTCTGAGTCCCTACCATTACACTTTTGTTTAAAAATATCCCTCATTTGGACGGTGAACCACATGTCACTTCAGGAATGAATAGACCCTTCCTAAATTAAAAAAATCAGGATGCTTTTTAAACCAACACACTACCCGACCCAGTTCCCTCCCACTTATCTCCCCTTCCCCNTAGCTGGGTCATATAATGGGTTGGTTAGAAAGGATTCGAGTTTTTTACTTGCGGGTGATCTATTCATTCCTGAAGTGACACGTGGCCCATCCGTTTTAAACAAAGTATAATGGTACGTGCCTAGATGTCTAGATGGTGAAATGGAAGGCAAATTTAAATAATTTTTGAAAGTACATGGATATATTTGGCTCTTTTCCGTCTAAGTTATATACAAATATATATAACATTTATGTTATACACAAGCTTAGGAAGTCCAAATATGTGTCAAATTATTTGGTGTATCAAAGTTTTTCTCACTGAGTGTTATACTTCTGTTCAAAGCGTTACTTTTCACTGTGTAAAGCACCATTCACATAATCTTTCTTCCACGAGCAACATCACAGCTAATTCCTCTAGTCCGTTCAAAAGAATCCCTTTTGCGTCAATTTAGTGGACCTTATTTTGCTTATAGAAGGTCAAATCCGCTTGGTCTTGGAGTTAACTTAGAGCTACATTGATTCATAAACCTAACTGGTTGGGATTTTACACATCGATTTCAATAATTTAGGAAGTATTATTAGAAAACTGTTTAGTTTCAGATGGGTGAAAGTTATCAATACATTTCAATTTTGCTTTAAAAATTAATTTTTCCCTCCAATTTGAACAATAGACATTCTCCCTCTCATATCTTAATTGACCTTTTTAAATTCATATTTTGCCCTCTAGATTATCAACCCCCCCTCTCTTTCTCTCTCGTTTAGTGTCACGACCCAAAATCCAACTAGTTGTGATGGCACCTAACCCAACCCGCTAAGTAAGCCAATTAACAACTATCCAATTTTCAATAATATTAATAAGACAATTATTCAAAAGAAATATCTGAATCTAATACATTCTCAAGAATTGGTAGTACAAATCATGAGCTTCTAAAAATAGAGTTTACAAAGCGAAAATAAAATAAATACATAGTCTGTTTGAATAGTACATAAACAGAATTTTACAGATCTAAAACTACCACGAACAAGAGGCAGCTGCAGCCGGGACGCAGGTACATTTTCAATCCAGCTCCCATCGAACACAGCAATAACAGCAGCCAACATCTACACGCAAGGTGCAGAAGTGTAGTATGAGTACAACCGACCCCATGTACTCAATAAATAACAAACCTAACCTTAGGTTGAAAGTAGTGACGAGCTAACAGAAAGGTCGGGTCCAACACCAATACTTTCACAACATTTCATAACAACACAATACCATAACAAAAGAAGAATTTCAGAAATAAAAGGCTCAGTTCGTTCACAGTTCCAGAAAAATAGACATTTCTTTTCAGGTAGCTCAGTGAAAAAAAATCCAAATCTTTTACCGAAAAGCCAATATACGAGTAAGTTTTAAAAACTGTGATTTTTCTCAAAACTCCTTTCAACAAACAGTAAGATGTTTCATTTTCAAAATAGCATGAGGAAAGTAAGGTAAAATCATAAATGTCCCCAAAACTGGGTAGCAGAAGGAAATGCACCTCTATGCATGTATCTCAAGTACACATGTCAAATGCAATGCATCTAGATGATGAGCTCATGTACTCACACTCTCAGAGTACTCAATCTCATTGTCTCGCATTCTCTCCCACTATGCTCAATACACTTAATCACTCAGCGCTGTACAATACCCGCTGCGGTGTGCAGCCCTATCCCTGTTATAGTCGATTGCGCTCACTTGGGGTGTGCAGACTCCTGGAGGGCCTCCTTTCATCCCAAGCGCTATATCGCTGCGGCGTGCAGCACGATCCCATAATATATAAATAGCCATAAGGCTCGTTGTGGCGTACAACCCGATCCATATACATATACAACCCTACGGCTCGTTGCGGCATGCAACCCGATCCCATAAATGTAATCAATATATCATGCTGCGACGTGCAACCCGATCCCAAAACGTAATCAATATATCATGCTGCGACGTGCAGCCCGATCCCAAAATGTAATCAATATATCATGCTGTGGCGTGCAGCCCAATCCCAAAATGTCACTCTCACTCAGGCCCTCGGCCTCACTCAGTCATCAATCTCTCCAGTCTCACTCACGGGCTCACAATATCATGAAACTAGCACGACAACAATGATATGATGTATCAATAAATAATATCTGAGACTGAGATATGCTATGAATGCATGGATATGACGAAGTATAAAATATCAATAAAATCAGTGAGATGACAGCAAGAAACAACCACAATGGGTCCAAACAGTATCAGGATAATGCCTAAACATGATATCTAGCATGATTTATAGCTTAACTACTTTATCACATGGTGAAAATACGGATATCAACAAAGTAGGACCACTATACAGTGCCATGGAAATAACAGAGTCCCAACTCACATGGTGCACGCCCACACGTCCGTCACCTAGCATGTGCGTCACCTCAACACTAATCACATAACACGTATTTCAAAGTTTCATACCCTCAGCTCTAAGATTAGAAGAGTTACTTACCTCGAACAAGCCAATACTAATGCCGAGCAAGCCAAGCGATGCTGCAAAGATTCCATCACGCGCGTTCCGACCTCCGAACGACTCGAAGCTAACCAAAAACAACTCAAATACATCAAACAATGCTAAAGGAACCAATCCCGATCGAACAAGATCAAATCTTGAATCAAAAGCCCAAAACCGGCCAAAAGTCCAACCCGGACCCGCACCTCGGAACCTGATAAAATTTATAAAATTTAACAACCCATTCAATTACGAGTCCAACCATACTAGTTTCACTCAAATCCGACCCCAATTCGATGTTCAAAACTCAAAAATTCATATTATGAAACTTTAGGCCAAAACCCCCAATTTTCTCTTTAAAATTCACAATCCCATTACAAAAAACGAAGATAGATTCGTGAAATATAACCAAAACCCAGTAGAGAACACTTACCCCAATTCATATGGTGAAAATTACTTCAAGAATCGCCTCAATTCGAGCTCCATAGCTCCCAAAATGTAAAAATGGCTGAACCCCTCGAAATAGAGTACTTTATAATAACTGAGCGAATCAATGTATCGCGATCGCAGAAATACCTTCGCGATCGCGAAGAAGAAAATGCACTGCCCCTGAAAATACACTACACGATCGCAGAATAAACTATGCGACCGCGAAGCACAAACTGCTCAGTCTCAAAAAGAACCTATGCGAACGCAGCCCCAGGCTCGCGAATGCGATGAAGAAGACCCGAAGACCTGCCCAGCTCAGCTCTACAATGCAAACGCGTGCACACCTACGCGAACATTCTTCAACACAAAGCTACGCGATCGCTTATGGCCAATCGCGACCCTGAATAAGAAACATCCCATCTCCATTTTCTCTTTACGCAATCACATCAACTGATACGCGATCGCAAAGAACAATCCACGCACCAGAAAACCAGAACACACCAGCAAGGCCAAAATGGAGGAAAATAGTCCGAACACAATCCGAAACACGCCCGAATCCCTCGAGACCCCGTCCGAATATACCAACAAGTCCAACAATATAACACAGACCT